AATTTTAGTTTTTATTTGAGGTACCAGTTTCACATTCAAGTAGCTTGGGTGTTCCTAGGAAGTTTGGTGTCCAGTTGCATGCTGTAAATTGTGTTTATTGCCCACAGAATGGAAGCTTCAAGAAGTTGAGACCATTTCTGTCTTGTCCCAGTGCATCCTCAGCTGCAGGCGTGTAGTGAGAAAATAAGAAATATTGTTGAACGAATAAATTGGTTTCTTACTGTTTATGACTGTCGAATAGTCCTCTTTGGTCTCCGATACATGTAATCCAGGAAAAAAGTTAAAAAAACAAAACAAAAACCAAACAAACCCTGACTCCAAATAACTTGATTTCTCCTTAAATAAGCAATATAAAATGTATTTTTTATATTTGTTAAAAAGAATATACAAGTGTCAGTTTTGGTTTCAATTATTCAAATGGTTGTTATCATCTTCCATTTTGCTTTTAGTATGTAAATACAGACTTTGTATAAGCTATGTGTATTAGTTAGGGCAGTACTAGCTGCTGCAACAAAACACCCTCTAATTTCAGGGGCTTAACACAACAGAAGTTTATTTCTCACTCATCTACTAGTCCACTGTCCCAGCCAGAGGGTAGCTTTATTCCTCAGGGTGATGCAGGGACTCAGGCTTCTTTTATCTAGTGAATCTACCATCTTCTGTGGCATTGAAGTTGTCTGCTTCCAGCTGGACAAAGTGGGGAAAGCACACCCAATTTTTTGAAAACCTTGGCCTGGAAGTAGTGAACATCACTTTTGCTCATATTCCATTAGAGACAACTAGTCACCTGGCCAAGCTTGGATGCAAGGGAACCTGGGAAATATACCCACAGCTGAGCAGCTGTCCATCAGCTCCCCAATGGAAGGAGAAGCGTGAATGGTGGGCAGCTACCAATCTTCTGTCGCAGCGAAGGATAAGCACCTTCTTAGGCTGCTCTTTAATGTAAGATGTCTATCAGACAACATACTTAAGTTAGAAGCGACACAGTCTTAGGTAACTTTCCGAAACTTCATCTGGAAAAATGGAAGGCTAGTGTCAACCAAAGCACAGGCATTCATTGATGTAAGCTACAATGTCAGGCAGCTTGAAATAGGGGTCAGAGTGAGAACTTAGAGTCAGAGATTTGGGTTCAAATTCTGATTTAGACAGTTCCTAGCTGCCTGATCATAAGCAACTTCTTTGACACTCAGTGTTAGCAGCCAAATGGGGATCACAACATCCACCTTGCAGTTTCATGATGATTAGAGGTAATACATATAAACGTTCTGGCAGAAAGTCGTAGATACATAACTGGTATTACTATGTTTCCTAAATCGAGATTTGTCAAGAAAGCAAATATACATTCTTTTTTTTTATATAGCTCTGAAATAGAAAGTACAATAAAGAATAAGTAACGAGCCTTACGTAAATATAAGTTGTAAGGCAGTGTCCATATCATGCTTGCAACTGTAGATGCTACAACATCTGTCCTGTATCCCGACCGAAGCCAGAAATCAGAGTCTAATCAAGCTGTCTGATTAAATTGCTTGTAATCATCTGAATGCTAGTAGGATCCATGGAAGATAAAAATTAAGTAAATGTTATTATAACTGGTTTATCGAGTGTATATTTTATATCCCTTAATCCTTACACCAACCCCATGAGACATATTATGGTCACCACCACCAATACCACCTATGTTATTACCATTACCATGTTGTAGGTGTGAGGACTGAGACATGGAGAAGAAAAGGAATTGTCCAAGATGGCCAGTTACTAATGGTGGAACGTGAATTTGAACCCAGGCAGTCTGACTTCAGAATGCAAGTTCTAAATCAAGAAGTCTGGGATCTTGTTGGAGGAAATGCTTTATCTATAAAAAACACTTGAATATGATGTATGATAACATTGTGCTGAAGTGTGGTTCAAATTATAAATGCTATAGGAATTCGGTCTGGAGAGGAACTCGCAGTGCTTGGGCATGGCTGCGTGCCAGGCATTGTACTGGGTGTTCCCATCCTTCCCATTTAAGGAGAGGCAGCACAGTGTATGTGGAAGACTTAGAGCACCAGCTTTGGAACTGGACAGGTAGGGTTTAAATCCAGGTACTGCTATTTACAACCTATGTAATCTCAGGCAAATTACTTAACCTTTCTAATATGGTCTTCTCAGTTGAAAATAGGGGTTATAGCAACCACTTTACAGTAGAGGGTTTACTGTCCTAAAAGGCTACCAGCCTATGGTAGGTGCTAGTCATTCAACAAATACTGATTAAAACCCTGGCATTCGGGAGCAACACTATTAGCCAGAATAAGCTAGGATATGTTGCTGTGACAAACAATCCCCCAAATGTCATTGGTTTAACACCACACAAGTTTAATATTTGCTCACACTACTTTTCCCATGCAGGCTAGCTGGGAGTGCTCTGCCATCTTTACAGAGACTCAGGCTGGCTGGAGGAGGCTCTATTTCTGTACTTCCATGGTTGTCAAGATAAGATTGCCAAGACTATTTTTTCAGAATTGTCAGGGCATGGGTTCTACCCATTGACTCTTAAGTTTCTAAAAAGCAATGCATATCACTTTGCTCTTATTCCATTGGTCTAAGTAAGTCGTATGGCACATCTAATTTCAAGAGGATGACGTAGTGAATTCCTATGACATCTCTGGGGAGGGAAAGAACCAGAAAATATCCGGTGAGCAATTTTAATTACCACTACAGACACAAATGTGTTTACCTGTAAAACAGATCCACTAATCCATATTTTAAGAAGAGTAAACCAAAGCTCTGAGAGGTTGTCATTTGACCAAGGTCATATAGCCTGTCCACCCGGGAGCCAGGCTCAACCCGCATATTACTCACTCTCTTTACTCTACATGCACCATGTCTACAAACTTTGTATAAATGCAGAATACAGTTTCGGGATGGGAGGAGGGAGGCACTGCAAGTGTGGAGGACAGAATAGGAGTTGAATAAACATGGCCTCTGTGTCTCTATTATGCAATAACCAGTGTGTTCCTGGGAAGAGGGGTTTATGTCAAGTCGCAGTAGAAGAGAAGTTTGGACAGATAAGAATATCAAGCACTGGAGTGTGGCAGAGGGACAGGCATGGAGGATGTGATGACTGCAGTGTTTATTGGGCCATTACTCTGGCAGCAGGGAGGGGGCTTACTGGGAGGACATGCCCTTGCAGGAGTCCAGGGTAAGGTGATAGGG